TGGTGCTGATGGTCCGGGAGGCTGAGACATGTTTCCCCAGCTTCATATGCTACTTCCTATCGGACAGGAAGTCTGTGATCCACTTGCAGGTGGAGTCGGGCACATGCAGCTGGGAGAGTTTGTCCTGCAGCAGAGACTGGATGATCAGTGCTGAAGTCCTCAAACAGGATCCTGGCGTAGGTTCAGACTGCTGAAGGATGTAGTGGAGGGCCATGTTGAAAGCATCATCTACAGACCTGTTGTTGAACTGCAGGGGGTCCAGGAGGGGGTCAGTGAGGGTCTTCAGGTGGGACAGGACTAGCCGTTCAAATGACTTCAGAGGTCAGGGCAACGGGCCTGTAGTCATTAAGTCCTGTTATCCTGGCCTACTTGGGAACAGGTATGAAGATGTTAGTGAACACCGTAGACAGCTGGTCAACACAATGCTTAGAGAGGGTCGTTGCTGGTGAGGGGGGTGGGGAAGGGGAAGGTGATACAGAGGCGTGAGCCCCTGATGTGCTGGGGGAGGGGGGAGACTGGGGCAGGTTGGTGGAGCTGTGGGGGATGGAGTCAGGACATTGTCAAATCTGGCTTGTAGTTTGTGAGGTGTTTAACGCCTCTCCAAACGGAAGCAGTCACTTGTTGAGAACTGTTGTTGGATTTTCTCAGAGTACAGACGTTTAGCATCTCTCACCGCCTTTCTAAACTTGTATTTTGCCTCTGTGTACAAGTCTTTGTCCCCACTCCTAAATGCCTGATCCTTCTGCAGACGTAGTTTTCCAAGTTCTGCTGTGAACCAGGGTTTGTCGTTGTTGAAACTCACCCTGATGCATGATGGAACACAGCTGTCCTCACAGAAGCCGATGTAAGAAGTTACAGCCTCTGTGAACTCATCCAGACTGTTAGTAGCAGTCCTGAAAACATCCCAGTCTGTTCAGTCCAAGCACGCCAGATACTGCCCACTGCCCATCAATAGCGGGCCAGACCATTGAAATCATTGAGACGGGTAACGTTCTGGAGGTAAGAGGGGGTCGGGGGGCGCGGCGCAAAACAAATCGACATGAAAAAAGACACAACAAACCTCTCCTCTGTGAGAAGCGACGGCGCATGCGTAGGGACCTTTCTGTAATTCTCAGAATAGCAAAATTGTCTGGCAGGCGCCCAGACTCTGGCGGTGGGCCGCACTGGACGGCCAGTGCAGAGGAATTAATGTTCATCGGGAAATGTACCCTAAAGCACAACAACCATATGCACACATCTCTATAAACTGTGTCTAATTCTAAATATCTTTCTACAATTAATGTTCATACACAAGAACATGACTGGACAAACAAGATCCTGGCATGAAGTCAAGATTAAATATAAACACATTTTGCAGGCTGGTAAGTGCCTTTACTGTTTGGAAATGATATGTAGAAATTGCCCTACAAGATGGCTGCTCACATATTTTATCTAAACTGATTTTAAGTTGAGAAGAAGGCTCATTATTCTGGGACTGGGGGCCGGGGGGCACCAGCTCCAGGGTTCACCTCGAAGCAACATTAAAAACTCGTCTGTCAGAAGCGACGGCGCATGCGTGGGAACCCTTCTGTAATTCTCAGAATAGCAAAGTCATCTGGACAAACAAGATCCTGGCAGCAAGTCAAGATTAAATATAAACACATTTTGCAGGCTGGTAAGTGCCTTAACACTTTGCAAATGATATGTAGAAATTAGTTACAAGATGGCTGATCTAAACTGATTTTAAGTTAAGAAGAAGGCTCATTTGTCTGGCACTGAGAGAGGGTGGGTGCACCGGACTTCACCCAAGATGAGGAACTGGCCTTTCTTGTAAACTGAGGAAAGCCTGTGATAGAAGGGATTCAGGGTGGGACAGCTACTGACTGTTCATTGTCATTATATAAATCGTATGGAAATGCATATTAAGCCCATAATGGATGAGAAGTCAGTTCAGCAGTATATTCTTTGTTCCAAATGGGCAATTTGTATGCTCTCCCCTCCCCCCGTCATGGTCAGACCCAGGCCACTTTGCCGCCACATTAGTAATGATGCAGGAAGCCTCACAGATCATCTGAAGCAATGTTGCCTATTCAGTACACATTTAATGCACATATGCCATTTTGGCTAGTTGACAGTAAATAAATCATTTTTACCTGAACATTGATATTATGGAAGGATCTCCTGTTGACAAAATCTCCCTCATGAGCCCCTGACGGGCAATTAATGCGGATGTGTGTGCAGTCTGATGTACCAACGACATTAGGGAAACCTAAACACAAAATAGTCCGTGTATCTAGTGACTGTTCTAACGCAATGCTTTTTTGTAATCTATAATTCATGTTACCTGCAATCTTGTGGAAATCCTCTTTGATGTAACATATCAAGCTGGGCCGAGTTCCTCCTTGTAGCTGTGGCAAGCAATGGCAAGTCTGTAGCAACTCCATGGCAGGCAGTGGCAAGCAATGGCAAGTGAGTGGCAATCGCCCGTAAATCGGTGGCCGGTCCGCGGCAGGCGTCCACTGGGTTCGCTGGGTGGGCGGAGCAAGGTTTGGCAATGCAGTGGCAACTCTGTGGCACCTCAGTGGCAATTCAGTGGCGTCACAACAGGAACACTCATTCTGCACTCGACCTACCCATCAGCTCGCAATTTAAATGAAACAAACTTTTTTACATGCAGCTCGAAGACAAGAGAGAGAAAACAGCAGAGAGAAAGTTGACATTCCGCGAAGCACTGACAGGAAAAGTGTGCAGACAGAGGCAGGACCCAAACGCAGACTTCACAACATAAACACTTTAATAGTCAAAATTAAAATCAAAAAATGCCAAGGGGCAAAAACGCGGACGGGGAACGGGAACTCACAAAACATTCAGGGAATGACATCCAGGGATGACATGCATACATTCAATGACGCCACAAGGGACAAAAGACACACAGGGCTTAAATACACTGGGAAGGTGCAGGTGATTGGACACTATGGCTGTCAAAATTGCTCAAAAAGGACGTTCGAATATTCGCTTAAAAAAAACACAGATATTCAAATATATTCGATTAAGAATTTTGTGCAAGCAGTTTAAGGTTGCAATACTGTCATGCACATGGCACTTTAACTGTAATTCATCACTTTGTCGTCACTCGTCACTTTGTTACTTGTTCGTTAGTACACTTTATGCATATTATATATATTTTTTAAGATTTAAAATTGTTTAACTTTTAACTATTCCCTTGTGGTATACTAACCCATAGCCTTATTCTACTAACCCATTCCATTAGCATTTCATTCTACTTTATTTTAATACTTGTGCACTGCTGTCTTGTCTATTGTCACATAGACTGTCGCGTACCAACCGCCAAGACAAATTCCTTGTATGCTTGGCATATTTTGGTAATAAATGTTTCCTGATTCCTGATTCTTGTCCCAAAGAAGGCAGGCTTCATTCAATGATTTAAACTGAAGGTTTTATTGAACGCTCTGAGCGAGCTGTGCTGTAAACACAGAACTTTTCCGTGGCATGAAATGGCAAATAATCAAACCAGTGCATGAAGCTGTTGGAGCATATCTGGTCTATTTTATTCATGAAATATACAGTCAGTAGTCAGGTGCGCGCCCACCAGCTAAGCAGACAGCCGTTTTTAAAATCATTTAAAAACCTTTTTTTTGATTCAAATATTAATTTTCACATTTGAATAGTTGTTGAAAACAACTAATATATATTTGAATATAGAATATTCGTTGACAGCCTTATTGGACACAGGTGGAAACAATCAAAGACACAGCAGACAATCACAGGGGATGACAGGACATGGCAGGAAGTGAAGTAACCCAGGGACACAAGAAAAAAATACGAAACAAAACCGGAAACAACCCAAACCGTGACAGTAACCCCCCCTCAAGGGACGGATCCCAGACGGACCAAAAGCACACAAGGGTGGGCGGGACGGGCAAAAGACAGACAAAAGGATGAGGGAGAGAAAAAGGGGACAAGGGCCCGGCATCCAGGGGAACTCCAGCTGACGGGAGCTGGGCTCAGGGGGGCTGGCGATAGGCTGCAGGTCACGGGGAGCTGGGCACGACGGCGTCAGCTGCTGGTCATGGGGTGCCGGACACGACGGCGTCGGCTGCTGGTCACGGGGGACTGGGCACAGGGGCGCCGGCCTAAACTGTGCCAGAATCGCCCCCCTCAAGGGTCGGATTCCTGGTACCACTGGACGGGAGGTAGGGGGCCTTAGTCGGGGAGCCGGGACTGGGGGAACGAGTCGGGGTGCCGGGACAGGAGGAGTCGGGGGAACGAGTCGGGGAGCCGGGACAGGAGGAGTCGTGGGTGCGAGTCGGGGAGTGGGGACTGGAGTCGGAGACAAGCGTACTGGGATCGGGAACGGGAGGTTGCTGCGGCCCAGTTCAAATTCAGATATATAACACATGAGTATGTTTCATATCCACAATGTCCTAAAGGTGACTAAGAAAATATGTAAAATTTGCTAAAGGAGTTTTAAAGGAGATGCAAATTAAGAGTGTTTAACGTTTATACCACCAGGTAGCAGTATACATGTATTTAAACGATTTGTTTTTATCTAAACTGTACCGTTAATACGAGAAAGGTAAATCTAACAGGGGTTGACAGCAATAGGACTATAAGTGTAGCTCGTTGGGGATGTGTGACGACAGCGGGCCATCAATCAGATTGGCCCACCCGACGACAGACCGCAAGAGGAGCACTACCATCCTCCTGCATGTGTTGGACACCGCCTTGCTCGGTATTGTGAAGAAATGTCTGTAAACCCTGTCAGGGAACTAATTACACTCTCCGTGTTGTAGCGTCCTGACTCCTCCCGTGACAATATATAGTAGTTTGTCACACAATTGACTACATCGTAGTTTATTTTCATCTTCACTGCATGTTTAATTTAATCTTCACTGCATGTTATTGCATGTTAACTCCCCTGTCATTTCAGATCCTCCCACATCATCAGCTCATTACCCTCACCTGGTTCTCCTTGCCCTCACCTGAAGCACATCCCCTCATCAGCCACTCTCTATTTAAGCCCGTCACATTCTGTTGTTCCCTGCCAGATTGTCTTGTGTGTTTTGCTGTGTTTTCCAGCGTTTTCCCAGTTACCCCGATTTACCTCTGTTTTCACCCTGCCTGCCTTTCGACCCCAGATTCTCTGCCTGCTCCTTTTTGGATTTGTTTGCCTCCCTGATTGCCACCCTCGTTCTGACCCCTGCCTGTTCCCATCTACGGATTCCCTGCCTGCCCCTCTCGGATTTGTTTTCCCTCTGACGGATCTCCCGGTTTTGACCTTGTCTGCCCCATTGATTAAATCTACTAGTTCCTCCCATCTTGGTCTGAGTCGTGCTTTTGGGTCCCATCGTGCACCGGTACCAGTGACTGTAGTTATGTGTGGGTGGCAGTATGTTTGTGTGAATACACAAGAAAGCAGTCAAAGAAATATCAGCCCGCTGCTAATACCCAAAAGGAAAAATGAGCAACCATGTACAGCTAACTATCGGTAGCCATACGGCTGGTCCAGAGTTGCCACTGGTAGTAGTCGCACGCTGTCTGTCTGCTGGTGGGCGAAACTGCAGTGAGGAGTGAACAATTGAAAACGTGATGAGGGCGATATATGAAGTCCCATTCACCCGTGTTTCTTCCTGCATGATGCCCATTTCTGAACCACCACAGCGAGCATTTTTTGGTTAAAAAGACTCCTATAAAATGATATTGCACAAAGGAGAAGACGAAACGTTACGGTTTTAAAAATCAAGTTGAAATGTGGTGTATATACGTAGACGTCTTTTCAACGCTCTGTTATGAGGTGTGAAGTGAGTTGGTGCAAATATATATATATATATATATTTAGTTTTATTATTATTTTGAATAAAAAAGAAGCCTCGGGAAGTTAATCTCTCCATAGTGGACGCCTCCTCCTTCTGTTGTCACTGTCTCTCCAACAGTATAGTTCTGCAAAAAATAATAAATGAAGCAAACAGGAAGATATTGTGAGAGCTGCATGCTTTGAAATAATTACAAAACCAGACCGAGTTGTTTGGTGTGTTCTCACCTGAACATGTGGTGACTTCAAACGCCTGCAAAACAAAATGTTCGGTCTAATCCACAGAGTACAAAATAAAGATCACATTATAAATGGACACATTCTTTAATTATGCTACTGACCAAACAAAGACAATCAGGCCAATGAGCACGATGATCCCAATGATTCCAAGAACTGCACCCAATAGTAGATAATCAACTCCACCTCAAGACAAGATGAAAAAAAACAGCACAAGACTAAATGAAGACACTATGGGAATGTAACAATATGGGAAAGTAACAATATTGATTGCTGAAGTACCTTTATTATTTACCTTCTATAGTCAGATGGATCTTTGGTGATGTTTGATTACCAAGCTGATTGGTGGCCACACAGTAATAAACTCCTCCATCAGTGACATTGAAGCTGTAAAAGTCTCCTTCAGATACTTTGATTGGTGCATCTCTGCTGGTCTTGAACCAGGTGAAGCGGCTCACAGGAGGTTTGGCTCTGCTGGAGCAGGTCAGGTTCACCCGGCTACCTGCTGACACCCGACCTGATGGACTGATGGACACTGAGGTGTTCTTGGGAGCGTCTGAGGAAAATGTGACATTAAAACTTCATGCAGGTGACATTGTGTGAACACATGAATCATCGTATGCTGAAAGGATGAAAGAACAAACACTCACACTGAGAGTGTTTTCACTTGCTTAACTTGACTTTAAACGAATCTCTAGGGAAACAAAATGCTGCATCCTAACTGAGTAACACATGTAATACACTTCTTTTGTTTACCTCCTATACTGAGATGTATCTCTGATGATGTTTGATCACCAAGCTGATTGGTGGCCACACAGTAATAAACCCCTCCATCAGTGACATTGAAGCTGTAAAAGTCTCCTTCAGATACTTTGATTGGTGCATCTCTGCTGGTCTTGAACCAGGTGAAGCGGCTCACAGGAGGTTTGGCTCTGCTGGAGCAGGTCAGGTTCACCTGGCTACCTGCTGACACCCAACCTGATGGACTGATGGACACTGATGTGTTCTTGGGAGCATCTGAGGAAAATGTGACATTAAAACTTCATGCAGGTGACATTGTGTGAACACATGAATCATCGTATGGTGACAGGATCAAAGAACAAACACTCACATGAAACACTGAGAGTGTTTTCACTTGCTTAGCTTGACTTTAAACAAATCTCTAGGGAAACAAAATGCTGCATCCTAACTGAGTAACACATGTAATACACTTCTTTTGTTTACCTCCTATAGTGAGATGTATCTCTGATGATGTTTGATTACCAAGCTGATTGGTGGCCACACAGTAATAAACTCCTTCATCAGTGACATTGAAGCTGTAAAAGTCTCCTTCAGATACTTTGATTGGTGCATCTCTGCTGGTCTTGAACCAGGTGAAGCGGCTCACAGGAGGTTTGGCTCTGCTGGAGCAGGTCAGGTTCACCCGGCTTCCTGCTGACACCCAACCTGATGGACTGATGGACACCGAGGTGTTCTTGGGAGCATCTGAGGAAAATGTGACATTAAAACTTCATGCAGCTGACATTGTGTGAACACATGAATCATCGTATGCTGACAGGATCAAAGAACAAACACTCACATGAAACACTGAGAGTGTTTTCACTTGCTTAGCTTGACTTTAAACAAATCTCTAGGGAAACAAAATGCTGCATCCTAACTGAGTAACACATGTAATACACTTCTTTTGTTTACCTCCTATAGTGAGATGTATCTCTGATGATGTTTGATTACCAAGCTGATTGGTGGCCACACAGTAATAAACCCCTCCATCAGTGACATTGAAGCTGTAAAAGTCTCCTTCAGATACTTTGATTGGTGCATCTCTGCTGGTCTTGAACCAGGTGAAGCGGCTCACAGGAGGTTTGGCTCTGCTGGAGCAGGTCAGGTTCACCCGGCTTCCTGCTGACACCCAACCTGATGGACTGATGGACACCGAGGTGTTCTTGGGAGCATCTGAGGAAAATGTGACATTAAAACTTCATGCAGCTGACATTGTGTGAACACATGAATCATCGTATGCTGACAGGATCAAAGAACAAACACTCACATGAAACACTGAGAGTCTTTCTCTCCTCTGACGTCTTTACATCTTTTCCTTCATTCACAGGATATCTGGCAGAACAGGTGATGATGAATCCATCATGTTCATGTGACAGAGTGATGCTCTTCTGGATTCTAGTTGTGAAGGTTCCATCTGTGTTTTCCTCCATCATGTGGTGAGAGTCTGGTTGGAGGTTCCAGGTGAGTTGAGGAGGAGAGTGTGGACAGGGAGTGGAAGCTGAGCAGCTTATAGAGACAGACTCCTTCTCCTTCACATCACCTGAGATCTCAATCCTGGGCTTTGGAGGAGAATCTGTGGTTTTAAATCAAATACAGATTGTACACTGAAAAAAGAGCAACAAGACTTGAGTCTACAGTCTGTAATGAAAGTACTCTTCTACATTTGAGAACATAATTTTTTTTTTTTTTTTACTCCACTATCAGATGTTGGATGCTGTATCTTTTAATTTGTATATTAAATAATGTGTTTGTTAGGGGCTTCTAGTTAATTTTCTGGTGTTTCTGAATGTAAGCAGATCCATCAACATTTCACCTCTGAATTTCTCACATGGCTTCATTTAATAATTCCACTTTTTCATAATTAAGCAAAGATTAGAAGAAAGTCCAAAATATGAACTCGTATGTACAGCAGAACTTTTTTTCCCTCATGACCCCTCAGATTTAAATAAATGTTAACTTTCACTAGTTAATGTTGTCAAAAAGAAATTTTGAGACTTGGAGATGCAGATTCTCATGGGATTATTAATATAAGAGAACAAGAAAACCCATTCGCGCAAAAACTTATTTTGCTGGTCGGTGTCTATAGAGTTATTCTAAAAAATAACATCATAGATTTTTTATTGAAAAACAAAAGACTCTTACCTTTAACTGTTATCTGAAGATAATCACAAACATCTGTTGCTTGAAATGGCCAGTTCTCAACCCTGAAGTAGTATTTTCCTGTGTATGTTGTTTTTAAACTGGAAAATAGGGTGGTGCAGTTTTTCTGACTCAAGTCTCCAGTAAAACTAATCGGATATGTGGAAACTGTCCCACTACTGTTGAAAATCACCTCACTTGTTTTTTGGCCAATTTGAGGGTAGTTTTTAATCCACACTCCAAATGTTGTTGTTGTGCTGTTGAATTCCTTTTCTTGTTTAACACTGAAGTTACATGGAATTTGCAAACAAGATCCAGTCAGTGCTTCCATCTCTTTTGGTGCAGTCATGAATAGATCTGAATCCCATTCACAATCAGCAGAAGCACCTGTGAAACAAACTAATGATTAACAGTGGTGATTAAAATATGTAAAAACACAACAATAACATGAACACAAAGAGAAATATACTTCAGCAGTAATGTTTTGTGTTGTTTGTTCTTTTTTTCCCTGAACAGTTTGTGTTGATTCATCTTTTTGGTTTTACAACTTTCCCCCACAAGGCCGAGCCCAGTGGGACCAAACCCGTCTCTGTCTCCAAATAACTACGTCACTTTTGTCTCCGTGATAAAAGAGCTCAGCAGGAAAACACAGATTGTAACATTCACATGAATTTAGGTTGAAATGATATTTTCCAAACAGTAAATGATTGAAGTGAAACACAAGTGAGTGAAGATGAAGCTCACCTGAGAGGAAGAAGACACTGTGCAACACGATGGCTGTCACCATCCTAACAGACTGGTCGGCCATGACACTCACCACCTGATTCACAAACACAACATCAGTGTTCTAGGAAGCGTTCAACATGCTGTGTGCAACCACAAGTTCCTGTGTGTGAAGAGACCACAGCTCACAAGTCTGTGGACGAGTACGACTCTGAGTGTTGGATGAGAATAAAACTATGAATGTCTCCCTCTTACCAAAGAAGCCCACGTCCATAACAGAGGGACAATTAGATCAAGTGCAGGTCTTTGTTTTAGCAGAGTTCTCCCCTTAACTCACACACACATCACAATAATAATAATGTAGCATTAACAGTCAGTGACTTGAGTTTAGTCACTGTGAATAACTCTGAGTCTCTGTTGCTCTGCATTACAGGACTGATAAACCTCACAGACTTACTGTGTTATTACAATTTAAACTTTAAATAAATTACTTACCCTGATAGCTAAAACATTTCCATATTCATAGTTTCTACTTCCTCTTCATCTCTAATATCTATTCCAATTTTGCAAATTTTCTCTACATTGGCAATCAGTAAAATTTGTGGTGAATAATTAGGAGAAATGTTATGCCAACGGTGAAATTTCAATAAAAAAGACAGTTTTCTACATTTTTCTGTGCTACTAAAATGAAGTATTGAAGGTGACATTAACTTACATTGAGTGAGTGTTTCTTCTTCAGTGCAGTCTGCTGTCTGACAAGTTCAATGCAGAAGTCACAGGTCTTTGAACCAAGATGGTCTGTGAGAGGAAGGAGGAGGAACTGGGAGGTGGAGACAAATATCACTGCTGGGCCTCGTTCCTTGTTGCTAACTAGTTAGCCGGATCATTTTGACGATAATTTACCCCCCTGCAGCTGTCGCTTTAGAGACTTTGCAGAATAGACAGAAAACGTCAATATTTAAATCAATCCAGGTTCGAGGAGGAGATTAGTAAATAATTCAATCGCTTAACTTCTGCACTGACAAGAAATAAATAAGTAAGAAAGAAGTTTATTTAGAACACAACATGACAACCAACACTGCAACAAATGGACGATTCCACACATCGAAAAGTGTCCAAGCAGGTAAAATGAAAATAAAAAAACGTGTAAGAATGTATTCAGTTTAAAAAAACATTATAAAAGAAGGAGTACTGTCCTAAAATGTCCTACCACTCCTCTGTGGACAACCAATGTCCAGGGAAATGGACTCCGGATGAACTGTGATGTCCGTTTGATATTAAGTTCTCTGGTTGAAGGTCGATGGATGAAGATGGAGGCAGACGGGACGGTGGAGGGACGCTACTTCTGGTTCCGGTGATGAAATCCAACAAAAACACATCCAGTATATCAAATGTTCACATTCTTCTCTCACGAAACTGCAGCCGTTCAATGGCTCGTACTTTAAAATTTCATTTAAAGTTGTCAACTTTCATCGTTTCCTTTTTCTGCTCATAACTCTACTTTACTGAAACACAGTCGACGGGAAAAACAAAGATCGTCTATCAGGAGACAGATGGTCGCTTATATCAGTCTCTATGCATGAAGTAACAAAGAACACTATTGCTGCGTAAAACAAACACCAAACGAAAAGAATTTAAAGATCTTCTTTCATTTGCGTTAAGAAAATGTACTCACGGTGTCTGCAGCTCAATTTAATAATGTAAGTCACCGAAGTAACGCCGCTACAACCACTATAACTTCTCTGTGTATGTAACACAGTTAAAACGGTTCGGTTTAAATTCCGGTAAAATGGCTAAACGATGCACCCTGCTGCTAGAAACCGGTACCCACACGGACCGAAAGACGGAGAGGATTGTGGGTAATCCTCTGCGGAATTGAGGATTAACATGATGTAACGTGCTCTTGTATGTCTGTGGACAATGTTTAATTATTTTACTTTTAACTATTCATTTATACACCAGCCTTATTATTTTGGATGTTAGTTGTCTTTGTTTAAACTTTCCATGTTTTTATCAAGTTAGTGATATATGTTTTGTATATGTTTTATTGTCTGTAATAATGTCCGTTTTAGCAAACTAACAATACTATGTCGTGCTCCTAGGCACGTGAACCGCAATCTTTTTGTGTCTGTTATTGTGTACAGGTACGTTAGTTTGTTCAGTGTGATTAATCTGTTCTTTTGTATTTGTTATACAGTCAAGAGAAAGTTTTTTTTCTTCAGTTTTAGCTAAACCAACGTAACCACTACGATCATTGTATAAGTATTTTGTTCTCTGCAGAATTGAGGATTAACATGAGGCAACCTGAACCGCAATCTTTTTGTGTATGTTATTGTTTACAGGGAATAAACCTGCGGTACGACCAGCGGTCCGTTTCAAGAAGCGGGTTTAGTAGAAACCGGAGTTTGTAAAACCTACTTGAAACGGACCCCAGGTATCCGGCTGATTATCCTTTCAGATTAATCACTTTTAATAATGTGGTCAAGGCCAAAGACGTGCACCACCCCTAGTGGTGCTCAAGCACCTGCCCTTTTGCCCTGGGTGAGAAAAGTGGCCCTTCTGCTGGAACACAATGTTTTCTTCATTCATCAATATTTATGAATAAAAATGACTCTCTGTCATCAATTCCCTCCCAATGTGTTTTGATATCTTACGGGGCATTATTTGAGTTCTTGTGAGAATATTGCCCGACATGCTCACAAGCGCCGTCACTCCCTCCTCCGCTTAGTGCAGCGCGGAGCACCAAACAGGTAATGACGTTGAAATCCCCCGACGTTGTTTGGTGATAAATTAACCACATTAGCGCCGCTGAAAACATTAGTCCCAACTGGTCCGACGTTTCCTAAAAAATAAGCAAACAAAAAACTTGAAAATCCGTGATTTCAAAGCTCTGTCCAGCTGTTTACTGATGTGTGTCATGTTCAACGAAGAGAGAAGGAGAGAGATACAGGCAGGCAGAGCATTTTTATTCATTTTACAAATTAGACAAGTTCACAAGTTCTAGTTTTGTTTAATTTCATTTCATTAATGAAATGACAGGTCTTAAGTTGAGCTACATGAGTCTGGTGAGGTATATGTAATTAGATACATTAAGTTAGTTTTAACAAAAATAAATATATACGTTGAAAATATCATACTGTGTTTATTATTTATTTATTGTTATTTTTTATTTCATGAATAATTTGGGCAAAGTGATAAAGTTCACTTCAATATTAACCGATAGAAATGTTATATTATTATGTAAGCTATCGTTGCACAGGGGTTCCGATGTGGGGGCTTTTGTTGTGAAGGAGGAGGAAGTTGGTGTGGTGTTGAACTGGGGCTGTGGGAAAAAAAAGGAAAAAGAAATAAAGTTACGGCTGGTTCGGCGCAGAACTGGAGCTCCGGGTTTTCTACAGAAGTATAGGCGCACCCGAACCACTCGGCTACATTGGTGGCAGCGGTGGGATCCTTTCCTGCAAAAAGAAAAAAAAAACATCGTCAGATAAGTGAAAAATCATAAGTGAGAGCCAGCTAGCTAACGTTAGCCACTGCTAACACGCATTAGGTTAATACAGTATTACGCTAGCACGAGGTGGAGACTCGGCGCACGGCGTAGGATCGGGGACATCTCATGTACATCGGCAAAATAAGCACAGACAGTGGGAAAAAAAGATAATATTATAAAAGGAAAGAAGAAGCAGACAGAATGTGGAAATGTGAGGAGGACCCGCTGGGTTACAACGTGCGGTGCGGAGATCAGCCGATCACCAGCCACGTCAAGATCGAACTCCGCAGATTTCTGGCTGGACTCAAGCGGTTCTGATAGCTAAATGTCACGAGCAGGGCGCTACGAAGGTGGCTGAGGCCCTGGCCATCGCTGGCCGATGTGAAACGGCCAGAGAAACTCTTAAGATGGACTATGTCAACACCCAAGTAAGCCAGCCTCTTTCAGGAAACGTTACCACAATGGTACAGTCCGTATCGGATGGAGGTGGCTTGTACAGGACAATAAACCGCATTACTGAAGAAATGAGCGAAATGAGGATGGAAATGAGGAAGGTGGCAGAGGAAAACGATTGACTGAGATCCAGGAAAGAAGAGTGAAAGACCAATCCCTCAATGCGTGGAGTCAGTGTGAATGTATGTGCGGGGAGCAGGGCTGCCAGTTCTGTCGCCTGCGGGGTGAACAGAGAGGACGTTCTCCTGACCATGCTTGGTCGGAACGTGGAGCAGAAAGAGGTCCCAGGGATAGACAGGATTACCGGGCGCCTCACGATAATAGAGCCGTCTCTCCAACTTGGAGGGGCCCTAGATCTCGTATGTGAGGGGAAGCATTGAAGGTACTGACATCAACATATTGGTGGATTCAGGGGCCACTGAGTCATTTATCAGTGTTGATTTTCGCATGTCAGTTCCGGCGCTGCGTGAGCATCCCATAAATGCTGACTTTATTGCCGCACGTGCTGTGAATGGCCAGATGCTTGACACCTTGGGCAGCATAGCAACCACCCTACACCTGGGTAATGAATCCTGGCAGCATGTTTTCTAGGTACTTCGCGCTGCTGGGCTTGCACTTCCTTGTCGCTAATCACTCACTCTTGGACTTTTCTCGTGGCAGACTGCAGTTATGGGATACTGATATTCCTCTTTTGAGTGGCAGAGACTTGATTTAATGTTGAGTGTTGTAATGTCTCGATCGCAACTGCTATGATATGCCACCCCTCAGTGAGATGCTGGTGCCGGTGTGTGTGTCCCCGGCCGGGGCCACGGAACAGCTGCCTGACTTTGTGGGCTACTTAGCGCCTAACCTCCGGAGCAAGAGTGAATGTGTCGTTGCTCACACAGTGACTTCGGTGAAGTAGGGGGTTACTATCGCTCGGGTGTTGAATCCTACAGATCAGGATATGGTACTGAGAAAGGGCATGCACCTAGGGGAGTTTTTTTCTGTGAATGAACTTGTGTCACTTCCTCAGATCCCATCGGAGCCTGTGTCCAGAAATGCAGTCACTGACGTCTCTTGTGTCTCTTGAGGAGTCTCCCAGCTAGTCAGCATATTCAACATCACATCAAAACTGAAAATCA